CACTCTCAAAATATCTCATAGTCAGGAGGTATATATAATCATGAATAGAACAATCTTTAAATATTAACCAAAAGTTAGACTAGGAAAATGTGTGATTATCTAAGTAGTTAATATAAAAACACAAAGAGATAAACAATATAAGAGAAAAAAAAGAGAGACTTGAAATTGAGCTCAAGAAGCAACTCTTATCAAATCAAGATAATATTGGGGACAATCTTAATTTATTTGGAATATTATGACAAATATATGATAGACTGGGTGGCTTATAAACAACAGAAATTTATTTCTCATAGTTCTGGAGGCTGAAAGTCAGAGATCAGGGTGCCAGTGTGGTTGGGTTCTGATAAGAACCCTCTCCAGGTTGCAGACTGCCAACTCCTTGTTGTATCCTTACATGGTGAAGGGACCAGACAGCTCTTTGGGGCCCCATTTATAAGGGCATGCATCACATTAGAGCAGCAGTTCTCAACCTGTGGGTCATGACCCCTTTGGGGGTCGAATGACCCTTTCACAGGGGTCGCCTAAGACCATCGGAAAACAAAAAGATATTTACATTATGATTCATAACAGTAGCAAAATTATAGTTATAGAGTAGCAACGAAAATAATTTTATGGTTGGGGGTCACCACAACATGAGGAACTGTATTAAGGGGTCACGGCATTAGGAAGGTTGAGAGCCGCTGTATTAGAGGCTCCACCCTCCTGACCTGATTACCCCCCAAAGGCCCTTCCCTTAATATGATCACATTAGGGGTAAGGATTCAACATATGTATTTTGGGGAAACGCAGACATTCAGCTCATTGCACAATCCAATTCTGGACAAACTATTTTTTTAAGAAAGCCTGTAGAGTAAAATTTTCCTTATTTATTTTTCTTTCTTAATTTATTTCCCTGAAGAGATACATTATGTTATCTGTTGTATCTACTGAGTTACTAACTTTTAACATTTTGAATTAAGATCTTTGTGCCAACTAAAAGCAACAATTTTAAAAAATATCAAAGGTGAGAAAACCTTCAGTTAATTTACTGCCTAATCAACGTATTTGACACTTATTTTATTCATTTTCCAGTGCCTCATTTCAAAATAGTTTTTGCAGTTGTATTTTACACCAAACCTTGAACTAGGCCTTTAGCAGTGACCAAATAAACAAGATTCCTGCCTTTATTTAGTAGAAGTGTAGAGGAAGAAATAGAATTTAAATAGATAATGGCACATGTAACTATATGATAATGACTGAATTAAGTACTATGAAGGAAAAGTAGAGGAACTGTATTTATAGAGCTATTATTTCCTTCTTCTTAAAAATGTTTTGATAGGTGGTTCCTCCTGTCTCTCATGGCCAGCTCCAGCCAGTGAGGTAGCAGAACGGTGCCTGAACTGTGAGTGTACAGAGGGAGGGTTTCTTGAAACAGGTCCTTTAACTTGAGCGGACCATTGATTAAAGGAACCCAAAGCCTTCACGCAGAGGCAGCCTGGGTGGTCTCGCTCAGTGTCACTAGTGCAACTGGGGCAGAGGTACCCCCTCCTCTTCTCGGTACAGTCCTCTGTGTCGGTGCTCCTGCAGCTGGAATCCTTGTGGGCAATGACAAAAACAATTGAAAATTGATAAATGGATATCAAGGTTAAAGGATCAGATGGACTACAGCTAAAAATTAAAGTTAAGAAGAAAATCAAGAACTGTCTGATGTTTAAAAGAAGGCAAACTGGGGCCGGCCGAGTGGCGCATTGGTTAAGAGCTGGCTTGGGACACCAGAGGGCCCCGGTTCGGATCCCACATATGAGGGCCAGTGACACTGCCCTCTACAGCTAAGATGCTGAACAACAGCTCAACTTGGAGCTGGGCTGCTGGCAAGGCATAGGCTGCAACCCCTGCTGCAGTGGGTTGCCATGGGCTACTATGTGTAGCCAGCAGCCAGTGTGAGCAACCCTGAAGCCACCGTGAGCTGCTGCAGTCCAGAAGTCAGCGACTGATCTGCCTCTCCAGGGAAGAGCACAATGATGGTGCCAATGATTGGGCCAGTGAAGCAAAGTCCTCCACAACTAGACTGAAGAACAAAAGGACAGCAACTTGTCTGTTCCCCTTCCCCCAATTCCCCTGCACTGTTTCCATCCCCAATTCCCCAATTAAAGAAAAAAACTTAAAAAAAATAAAATAAAAGAAGGCAAACTGAAAGACCCAGTAAAAGTATAGAAGAAAATAAACTAAGCTAGATGAGATTGAAAATGAGATACATAAATGCTAAAATTAGTTAAAAACTGCAAGATGAAATTAGAAATTTGGAGAAATGTACTTTTAAAATATTTTAATAAAATGGGTAACTTTAATATATATGAGTATGATAATATTTTAATGTTTAAAGCCTCAGTTAATATTAAATTTAAAAGTTCTATACCAGTAAGTAAAGGCTAAGACCCGAAATATTAAACGCTAACAGAAAAATGGGGAAAATAAGAACGGGCTACCTAAAAAATATAAATGCAGGTCAATGGAAATAACTTGGCTGTGTCTTCAGATAGTGCAGGACCCTATCAGTTCAGCACCAAATGATTGTAGCATCACATTCCTTTCCCCAGATAGACCAGAGGCGGCAGGATCCTCCGGGAATGTTCAGGTAGGCAAAGGCCCTACGGGACTATTCATGGTCCCTTTGTCTTTGCCCAGGAAAATAAACAAAACAAAAAGAAGACCAGTAAGCAAGCGCTCCAGGATGCACCCTGCCTTCGTAGAGGCCCCACCTCTGGTCCGGCTTCCCTCTTTCCCAGCACCGAGCCTCCCCCCCCACCCTCCACCCCCACCCCCAAGTTATTTCCATTTGTATGTAAATGTAATGCCTCCACACTGAGAAATAACCTCTAAATGTGCAGCATTTTACCTAATGTATAGACTGTGTGCTGCAGAAGATACTTATAAACCATGCAGAGAAGAAAAGCACATTTGTAGTCTAGGAAGAATCTCTGAAGTATTTGGGGAGCTGCCTTCCTGTAATTTCTAAATATATGATGAAAACTGTCACCAGCAAGTTTTCTGCACTCTCCTCAGTACGCTACCGCTCCGCATTTATTTGTTCCTCCAAAGGCACTCTCAGAGGCGCTTCCTAAATTGCTTAATTTCAAAACGTTTAAAAACGAATCCCGGACAGACCAACAGCAGTGTCAATACTGACAACATATTTTGTTGGTTTTTGCCGAAATGCTTAGGTAACTCTTACTGTCTGCCTCAGATTTGCCAAAAAAAGAAGTTTTTCAGGGGCCTCCTCAGGCACCCACAGGGCAAACCGTTTATTTCTGGAGTGCTGAGGGAATGATCCCTCCAGGGGAGGGAGATCGCCGGTCGGTGGGTAAGGCGGGGCGGGTCCTGCAGCGGCCTGGGAGCTGGAGACCTGAGCACGGAGTTTACTGTGCAGAGTCCTGGGAATCGCACCCGCAGTGGAGCGGGCAGGGGACGCAGGACGGCGGAGGGAGTGGGCAGGGTGTCCCTGCAGCTGCCACAGCGGTGTCGTGCGCCCCGCAGAGCTCTGACCCGAGGCTCTTCTCACGTCTCCATGGGCTCCATTTTCTGTCTCGCCAGCACAGCAGCCCCAAGCGGCGGGTGGGACCGTTGCAGTCAGCTCTACCACTGTCAGCCACAGAAGATGCCCTCAAGGACAGTTTTCTCAGTAATTATTTGAACACTGTTTAAAAAGCTCTCTTTGTTTTCTCTTTGAAAAGACACATTTTATGACAATATAGTGCTAAGAGCTAGAAATTTGATATGGTATGTCGAGCTGCTTGCTGATCTAATTAAATTCTGGCAAAAACAAATTTAGATCCGAAAAGCATTGATTTCTCTATGTAATGATCTCCTTTTAAAAAGTGCTTGAAACTTGGTCGGTACACCAAGAAGATTCTATTTCTCTTGTCTTCTTTGGCATTGTTGTCTATACTCAGAGAGAGAATAGTGAGGCTATCTTTGGATTATCTGTGCTTTTCTAACTAATCTTGTTTGAGATACTTTTTTTATGAAAAAAAAAAGAGGAAAGGTTTGAAAATGAAAAATTTTCAAGGTGCTTCAAAGGTTTACAGGTTTTTTCTCTTTAAATATATCCTTCAGGAAATATTTTTCATATATATATATATATATATAAAATAAGCAATGCAAGTAGAAGATAAATAACGATTTCATGCTAATTCCAGAGTTCATATTATAAATTAGTTTCAAATTTCAAAATATTTAAATGATGTTTTACAATTTAGAAGCAATTTTGCCCTTACTGTATTTTTAATTTACTAATTGATTAGTTGAGTAATAACTGTCATATAATGCTGAGCCCCGGTTCTAAAATTCTCTATCTTTAAAGATTCCCTAGGGTAGTGGGACAATGAACAAGACAGAGACATTCATAATATGGTATGATAAGTGCTTGAGTACATTTATTTCCCAAATTTTCCTAATTATAAGTAATATAAGAATGTGAAAAGAAAATAAAGCCACCTTAGGAAGAAGACTGGATATTTTTGTCTGGTTCTAATCTTGATTCTCCTACCAATTAATAAAATAACTTTGTAACACTTAGAACGTTTGTTCGTGAGCAAGGTGGAAATAGCCATAATCAAATTAGATGTTAAATATACACGTTTTAAGCTATAAACATTAGTATGGGTAAGTTGATATTAATATCATAGGTGAAAGTTTTGAAAAAATTTAGGAATTTAAGAATTTACAGACCATGAAAAACAAACATAATGCAAATTGGCTATATGTTTATACAAATCAATTACAAAGATTCTAAACAGTGACTTATAATTAACTGGAGTTTGAAACACAGCATAATCTTGAAACCCATCAACAATCCTCAGGCCTGCTGAGTGCTTCTGAAACCTCCAGCAGTTTTACTTAAATAGAATGGAAAGTTAAAGATGAAAGAGCATATATCTCCAAGATTCAGAGTCACAAAGAATGTAACCTTAGCCTAGTCTATTCTAGGTCCCACATATTTGCACTATTGTTTTCATGGGATAAAGAAGTCCATGGTATATTTTAATATTTCAGCGTGGATGGAGGGGATGGTTTGGGTGATGTCATTTCTGGGCTGAGAATGTCTGAGAAGATTGTGTACTTCCTCCTGGGCTTAGCAAGACTTCTTTCTGAGATGGAGACCCGGCAGCTCCCCATAATTCTCGTCTTCTCAGTTGGGCTTGCTCGTCTCGGTTTATGCAACTTGGGACTGAGTTTCTAACCCTGTAAGAGGTGTCTCAGGTTTGGGGCCCTACATGAGTCTCCCAGACATCAGCCATGAGGTGCCACTTTCCCAGGCCCCACAGGATACTCATCCGTCTGTGTTGGCAAACCTACTTTCATGCTCCATCGGAAGTAGGGGAGCATAGTGGGAGAAACCAATTAGTTTATCCATTAGAAACCAACTAGCCAATGCTAATGGTAAAACTACAGATTACAGACAGCTATGCCTTTTTAATATATTATTTTATTTAATGCTCACAACTTTATGAGATAGGTACTACTACAAACATTACACTACTACAAACTACAGATAATTAACTGAGACTTGCTGAGGTTAAAAATCATACCACCAGAGGAGAATGGTTACACATTTTTACATAAAGAATTTAATAAGCAATGTACAGTCTAAAGTTTCATCAGTGAGCAAATGGAATATTTACTGAAATCCTTGATTAAAAATATATAAACCTTTATTAAGATGAGCTTTTATATCAAGACTCCAGAAATAAGTATAGAGAATCCCTCTTCAGGTAGGAAAGGGAAATTTTGTAGTTGGAGTTTATAATCAACCTGAAAACTATAAAGGGGAAAAGGGGTCAGCCTTTTTAGAGAAGCTTGTTGAAACATTTAGGTACAGGGCTTGGTGCTGAGTGAGGAGAGTCATTTTACTGTGTGAACGTTTGTTGACAGTCAGTGTCCTGGGTCACAAACCCTGTTGGTGAACTCCAGTAGTGCAGCCAAAAACACATACAGCAGATGCTGTTCTTAACCTCATTTTTCAAACAGGAAAATGTTTCAAGGCTTCAAATTAGAACATAATCTTCAGATTAGCAATCATCAATGGGCAGAATTAGTAATTCTGAGAGAAAACCTAAAAAAAAATTCCTGGAAAATAAAACGAGTGTTTAGAAAGCTGATCTTGGAAAACATGTAACATTATAGGGCAGACTTTCAATCCATTTTTTAGCATATAGCAAAGTCATAATCACAGATGTTCTTTATCCAAGGCTCAGATGAGAGCAATGCCCCAAGTCAGCTCCACCGGGGCAGGGAGCACGTGAGATGCTTGACTGGAATTAGAACAGATCATATTCATGAACTTGGGATGATCCCGGTGTAGCCTGTACCCAACAAAGCACACTCTCCCGGGAAGGTGGCCACCTTCATTAGAGCACTTATCTTAGGGCACTTCATGAGGGCACCTGCTTTAGTTTCCGGCTCAGATGAGAGCCCTTAGCTGTGACCTCAACACACTTCCTGATGCCTGCCATTGAAATGAACCCTGTTCCCAGCACTTTCTGCACTTGGCTGAGGTCCTGTTTAGAAGGAACTTATTTTTCATAATTAGGGTGATGACATTCACCCACTTGTGAGTATTGTTTCCTGCCTTGTATCTCTAACCTCACACCCAGGTAATCTCCCACAGATGCTGTGAGAAGTAAGCTGGGATTTGACAGACCCAGCCTTCATGCTGGCCATTTACTCTCCGAACAAGTTGGTCCCTTCAGCCTGCTTGGCAGAGTTCCCAGCATATCTCATGGTTTTGCTCGGATTACCATGTGGTTCTCATGAGATGGAATTACATTAGGGTGAAAAAATTCCAAGAAAACAATATTAAATCATCTCTCCTGGTGAGTTAATTCAATGATGGAACTTCTCGGTCTTGTTTTCCTCCTCTTGTAGTTGTAAGAGGGCAATTCAAATTATTTAAGGATGTTAGAAAAATTATTATTAAGAATATTAGAAAAATATAATATTATACCTAGTGGTGTAGAAAGATTGACTTAAAAAATAATTCAGTAAAAATCAAGTACAGTTGAAAAAAGTATGTGTAATAGGAGTTAGGTTCTGTGTTCAGGGAAGAATGTAAAGTGTGAAATTGTAATCTTTACACTGTGTGACAAAAGAGTTGCAACCTGTGGAGAGGAAAGCAAGAGCTTTTGAACATCCAAAAATAAAAGATGGAGAATAGAATCACAAAACAAATGAATCTTAGTAATTATTAAGCAAAATTTATTAGATAATATAGGAATTCCTTCTATAACGTTGCTGAAACTGATCATCCACCCACGACTTGAACTTTTGCAGCTCTAGGGAACTTATTACTTGTAAGTAGGCCACTCAATAAGAAAAATAATAAGGGAATATATTTTCTTCTTAATAAGTGGAAAAGGGCCAATAACAAGGCACTAAAGATTTTTAATGCTTAACAAGACTTTAATATTTTTAGAAGGAAGAGCTGAAACCCGTAGCCTGAAGTAGGCTAAACATGGCTCTGAGCATCAGGGTAAGCCTGCTACAACGGGGAAGAAGGAATGAATATTTCTAATTACATTAGTCCAGGATCAGGACCTCTACATCTGAGGTTACTTAAGAAAATGCCTTAAATTACTCTAGCAATGCTGTTATCCTGTTACCCCTTTTTTGAGACTGAATAATGGTAAATGCCTAACCTGTGAAAGGGTTAGATTGGAACCTATATTTCTCTCACTGTAAAAATAACAAATTAATATTTTCATATATATAAAACCATTGATTGAAAAGACCAGTTGGTAAATATCCGGATGAAAGAAGCAGGCTACTGAACTGTACGCAGATAGCCTTGCAAATGTTTATTTTCAGACTAGCCTTTCCCGTGCCGCTGTGAGAATCACAGACTACAGAGCACCGCAGAACTACAGAGTAACCGAGCACTAGAACTGGAAGGTGCCATGGAGATGTTTTTCCTACAAACAGGCTTACAACCTGGTTTTAGTTTCAGACCCTTTTTTTCCAACAAAAGGTTTAGATGAAATTCACTCTATTAAAGGCGAGAACCTGCCTCTCTGCCCACTTCCTCCCTTCCTCCATCCCCTCTGCCCCTTTTTCCTTTTCTCTTGCTCTTTCTTTCTCCCTCATAGCAGCATCTGATGGACCATCATCGAGCCCTGTGACTGCATCAGCCAGAGTGTGAAACTCTAGTTATGAACCGGGACACGTGACCACAGACGTCATTTGACTTACAACTGCCAGAGGGGGAAAACAGGCTGAGAAGTTTTATCATTGAGTTAACTCATCAGGAGTGATAATTTAAACAAGTCAACAAATTGAACTCAGAAATTGAACTCCAGCACATAAGGTCACCAAGACCCTAACTTTGCTTTTTAAAGGCCTTCACCAAGGAATATAAAATTTTAGGGACAAAATTTATCAAGGATCAAATTATCATCCTTGAAAGACAATGAAATAAATTAGAATCTTCCTCAATTTGTGAACTTAATCAGTTTGATCAGACTAAAATGGTAGTGTCTTACATGCCATTATTAGGTAAAAAAAATGAATTGAAGATCAGGTAGAGACCCTTAAATTAAACAAAAACAGACAAGGCAAAAATATTGCACATATTTTTGTGAATGTGTGATTGGTGGTTTCTGACCACTGAGGAAAAATCTAAACTTGTTCCCAATTTTGGATTTGGATTTTCATGCTTTTTCATGATTATTGGATAGGTTGTCATCCCAGCTCTTGGCAAGGCAGGCAAGCACTAAGCACACACACCCTGCCTACTTCTATTTAACTCTGAAACACCAACCAGAGGATTCTGACTTTTCAGAGACTACTGCGTTCGTTGGATCCCAGTTAATAGGAGAGATCAAGGAAGTGGAATGTGATAGAAAAGCTTTCAGAAGATGAAAAAGGCCCAGGCTTTTACCAGTAATGTGGGACCTAGGGCAATTCTTGCTCCTCATGAGTCACAATAGAAATGTGGTTGTTAATCAGTAGGTATTGCAAAGTTCTGTGGGCCCCTTCCCAGAAGATGAAATTATGCATAGTGGAATAAGAGAGGGGAAAGTGTAATGCCACCAAATTCCTAGAAGAAATCTTTCTTTACTCGGGAATTATGCTTATTTGATGATTAACAATTTTGTCAGGGAATGGAGAGGGAATTACCTCTTCCTTCCTAAATGAGGTAAGAGACTTACCTCAAGTCCACTATTTCTGTCTTGATAAAGTAATAAAAGAGCCAAATGACCCTCTCCCTCTAAAGCGGTTTCTTGGTTATGTTCACGGAGTTTGACCACCAGCTTTAGGCAAACTCTGCTGTGCACGCTCCTTTGTTCAATGAACTATGCCAGCTCTGGTTTCCTGGATATTTGGGTGTTGAAGAAACTCCCCGCCCTTGCCAAAGGGCTTAAAACAGTGCTTAATTGCTTAGTGTTGTCTTAAATAGGGGATAGGTAACATGGAAGGACTGTTTATTATTTGCAAGACACTGTGCCTTACAAGCATTATCAAGTTCATGTAATCCTTATTTTGACAGATTTCTGACCCTTGATGCCCTAAAACAACTATTATAAATAAGTGAATTGAAGTAAGTCTGATTTCAAAAGAAAGTTGTAAAATAGATAGGATTTATATTTCTAGTGAATTATAATAGCAAATATTCATTTAATGATTTACTATTCATGGTTAGTAGAATAGAATGAAGAAATGATTTACATGCAAGAGATTACAAGAATCTAAATTTATATATATATTTAACAGAAAAAAATTGGGTGAAGACAGAAGGGCTGAAAATGAAAACACATTCCTTTAAGAGGACATACAGATGGCCAACAGACAGATGAAAAGATGCTCAATGCCACTAATCATCGGAGACATGCAAATAAAAACCACAATGAGATACCACTTCCCTCCTGTCAGAATGGCTATTATCAATAAATCAACATACAAGTGTTGGCACAGATGTGGAGAAAAGGAACCCTCATGCACTGTTGGTGGGATTGCAGATTGGTACAGCCACTATGGAAAACAGTATGAGGGTTCCTCAAAACATTGAAAATAGAACTACCATATGACCCAGCAATTCCACTCCTGGGTATCTATCCAAAGAAATCCAAAACACTAATTTGAAAAAAAATACATGTGCCCCTATGTTTATTGCAGCATTATTTACAATAGTCAAGGTATGGAAACAGCCGAAATGCCCATTGATTAGATGACTGGATAAAGAAACTGTGGTACATTTGCACTATGGAGTATTACTTGGCCATCAAGAAGAATGAAATATTACCATTTGCAACGACATGGATGGACCTAGAGAATATTATGCTAAGTGAAATAAGTCAGACAGAGAAAGTCAAATGCTATATGATCTCACTTATATTGGGTTGTCAGAAAAGTCATGACGTATTTTGTCTATGTTTTTCAAAGGTCATTTATTTATATAAAGAACAAAGATCAATCAATGATACATTGCCCATTTGTTCGATAATCTTTTGCCATCTTTCAGTGAGCTTCATAATTCCTCGTTCATAGAAGGACCTGTCTTTATTTGCAAAAAACTGAACAAGGTGCTGATTTACAGCCTCATATGACTTGAATGTTATACCACGCAAGAAGTTTTGAAGAGAGCGAGACAAGTAGAAGTCTGACGGCGCAAGGTCAGGCGAGTATGGTGGGTGTGGCAACACATCCCATCCAAGCTCCAATAATTTTTGACAGGTAATCAAACGTGTGTGGTCTCGCATTGTGGTGATGGAACACAACTCCTTTACAATTAACAAGCTCTGGACGTTTCTGGATGATGGATTTGTTCAAACTGTCCAATTGCTGACAGTATACATTTGAATTGATTGTTTGGTTCCTTGGTAGGAGCTCGAAAAACACGACACCTTTAAATCCCATCACACTGAGAGCATAACCTTCCTCTGATGAATGTCTGCTTTCCATGTTGTTTGAAGTGAATCATCACATCAGGACCAAGATCGTTTGCACACCACATTGTTGTAAACAATCCACTTCTCATCACCAGTTATCAGTCACTTCAAAAAAGGATCATTTTCCTCATGTTAATGAGCATATTGCAGATGTTTATATGCGCTGTCAAATGAAGTTCTTTGAGT